GCATGTGTATTTCCCACCGTAAAGCATGGAGGAGGAGGTGTTATGGTGTGCGGGTGCTTTGCTGGTGACACTGTCTGTGATCTATTTAGAATTCAAGGCACACTTAACCAGCATTGCTACCACAGCATTCTACAGCGATACGCCATCCCATCTGGTTTGGGCTTAGTGGGACTATCATTTGTTTTTCAACAGGACAATGACCCAACACACCTCCAGGCTGTGTAAGGGCTATTTTACCAAGAAGGAGAGTGATGGAGTGCTGCATCAGATGACCTGGCCTCCACAATCCCCTGACCTCAACCCAATTGAGATGGTTTGGGATGAGTCGGACCGCAGAGTGAAGGAAAAGCAGCCAACAAGTGCTCAGCATATGTGGGAACTCCTTCAAGACTGTTGGAAAAGCATTCCAGGTGACTACCTCATGAACCTGGTTGAGAGAATGCAAAGCTGTCATCAAGGCAAATGGTGGCTACTTTGAAGAATCTAAAATCTAAAATATATTTTGATTTGTTTAACACTTTTTTGGTAACTACATGATTCCATATGTGTTATTTCATAGTTTTGATGTCTTCACTATTATTCTACAATGTAGAAAATAGTAAAAATAAAGAAAAACCCTTGACTGAGTAGGTGTGTCCAAACTTTTGACTGGTACTGTATGTATGTTGATTTCAGAGCTGGTGTTCGTCATTGAACTAGATAATCCAGGGTAACGCATTCAAAGATACAACAGCGATACAACACACAATAGACAAGCTTTAGTCAAACCTACATTTTATTCAAATAATTTGTACAGCTCTATGCTCTACAGTAAGCTAACACAGTAGTGCGGTAGAGACAGGGTTGGGGGGTGGGGGGTGGGGGGTGCTCAGCATGGGACCATATGACACAACACACCTCAGGGTCTTGAGAGGAAGCGCCTTCAGAGTGTCTCACTGCATACCTTATGTTGTATGCCAGAGGGAACATATAAAGTGGTGCCTTTTTATTGCTTGAAAATACTAAACATATCAAACAAGATAAAACCAAATACTTAATGCTTAAATACTTAAAATGCCCATGTAACGGACATGAGTCGGGCTCATGGTCTGGCGATGAGATAATGGTGACACCCACTAGTATAAAATAATGTTGTGGATTTACCTCAGTGACCTCTGGCTTCTGTCAGGGTTGACTTCTGGGCGTCAATGGCAACAACAAAAAAACTGGAAAGACATACTCAGCAGGAGAAATTCATTAAAATGTCTCCCTTGTCCTCATTTTCTTCATGCCAGTTAGTAATTGGATAGAGAAACATTTTAAGAAATGTGGAATTGGAAACAAGATAGAAGTGATATACCAGGGGTGATCTCAAAAGTCCTTGCTTGATTCCTTGTGTCTGTTCTCCTTGCCGCCTTCTCTAAGAATCAGAAGAAAGCAAGGAGAGCAGGAGGGGAAGATCTGTGTTTTCTATGAAGAATCAACAAAACTTACTTTTATGATTCATCCTCCCCTGGTATCCAAAAGAGGATAATTACATTTTTTTACATTACAGAACTCAACACTTGCCTAATAAATCAGACTGATACCAATTATTGGTATACAGTCTGAAACAAAGTTTCCTTACAAGCCAGAATGTTCAATAAAATTACATTTGAACTTACTGTTGTCTGTGAGGTTGGTCCTTCAGAATATCCACAGGAAAGTATTATTTACCCAACTTTTTAGAGCGCCGGTACTGCCGTTGCAATTTCTATCACCTGGCACATGCGCAAACCCATGTAAACACCTGCAAGACTTCGGTTAGTATGCATGCATCTTGTGCATATACTTCCGTCTTGTGCACATGCCTTTGCTCACAAGCAAACAAATATTGGTTGCCACACACCAAGACCTGCGTTTTGAAGTTGGTTTACTAATGCTTTCCCCGCGGACAATTGGCAGAGTAAGTTCAAATATATTTGTATTCAACATTCGTGACACACAAGGGACGTTTAGTTTTTTTTCTATGTAATTGTGCATGGCTATGCTGTAACGTTACATAGCATAGCCACAGCGGGACAACTCTAAGGCAGAACACCATACAACTGTGTTGGGCCTCTTTGGCTCATCATTGTCATCATAAGACACCTTTCACCACAATCTGATTCAATAGTATGTTAAAGCTGTTTAGCTATTTGATTAAGAATAAAGGGATAGTGTTTTTATTTGTTATTTGTCTGTGATATAATATCGTATCAGCGTGTCACTCTTACACATTTCAATGTCCAAAATGTGTAAGATTTGAAGTGTCAGTTTTCTCTGTTCTTATTGTTTAGTTGTAGAGTAGAATGTGTCCCTGTGAAAGTAAGGATATTTTTTGGACATGGCTGGCTCTAGCCACAGACCACTATAAGCACAGGTATACCACAAGTACATCAGCCAAGGACGTTTGCTTTAAAAGAAAGCTTAACAGTCTAACTTCTAGTTCCCTAAGAAGCACGTGTACTGTATAAAAACATTTTCAATGAGAATTGCCATGTTACTGCAATTTTGATATTGAATGGGGAATGTGTTCTCGGAAGCTGAGGAAATAGTGCACAGTCATGATACATTTCTTGCTTGCAGGCTAAGGGTTAAATGCCATTATGGAGGCATTTACCATGAATCTGGACACCATGGCAGAACCTCCTTGCATTCTTCTACACAGAAAGAAAGTTGTGCCTATGGGACATAGGCCATATTTTGGGGGGCTTGACAGCAATTGTTGCCAGCAACGGTTACAGTTGGTTACTTTTCAGTAATGAGGCAGGCTGTTCTTACATTGTGAAAAAACAACAATGTTAAATGTCTGCACTGAATTCAACCCATCTTCTCTTCTTCAAAGGCATTCCATGACAATGCCTCCTCCAAATGCCTTATAGACAGATACATACAGTAAATAACATAATAGTTTTATAACATTCTGTGATATAATAAACATAATATATTAAACAATCAGTTAAATAAGTCATACAAAATATTAAGTTAAATCATAATACAAATATATCCTTCTAATACCTTATACAGTATTCCATTTTACTACATGTATTAAATAACCTATAAATGACACTTCCCGTGTGGCTCAGTTGGTAGAGAATGGCAGGCGATGCTAACGCCAGGGTTGCGGGTTCGATTTCCACGGGGGACCAGTTTGAAAACCTATGCACTCACTACTGTAAGATTACCTCTGTTATAGTGAGTTATTATCAGACTATATATATATGTACATTCATATAAGGGTTAAGATATATTACCTACCAAGATAAATGGTTTAAAAATGTAAGAATATCTTCTATCTGACATTGAATGTAAAATCCACCAATTTCATTAACTAAAAGCCCATAAAAAGGAAAAGAGGCAAAATCTTCAGATCCAGTGACACCACACATATTCATCTGTTTGGGTGCTATTCTCTCACTACACCATTAGGGTCCGCCAAGTGCAACTCAATGTCATTGGCTGGTTCCATAGTGTCAACTAATGGCTTTCAACAGCTGCTGTCTACACAGCTTGGAATCTACCATGTAGATAACCAATATGACCCATTTTCTCTTCTCAGCTCTCTGAGACAAGAGACAAATCTGCCAGAAGGCCCTAACAACCCTTTTTACTTGACTAGTAATAGTGAAATCAAATCAGCCAAAACCTAAGTTCAACCCAAAACAAATCATCAACAGCAACAAATTAATCTATAAACAATATTCCTCTGTCTATTTTCCCTGAGGCGAAAACCCCCCAGCAAACCACAGATGTAAATAAACACACAGAAATACGCTTCTCTGTGTTCAGTATTACACAGACCTCACTAAACCTGAGAGAAACATCTGGCCAAACTAGTCCCAATGCATTACCACCCAAAAGTGTCCTGTTTATGCAAAGCATCTGCTAGATTAGAAGGATACCTATACCTCAACCTATTTACTAAGGGGCCATATGCTAGGAACTCCAGTTTAACTCATACAATAGCTTCATCACTGTTTGGTAATCCCTTAATGTAATATGTTTTTAGTGTTTTTAAAGCTCAGAGGCACATTATATTTGAAACCCACTAAGATCTGTGTGTGAGGCCAGTGGACTAATGTGACTTTCAATTATTGTATAACATATATAGTGTGCTGTAGGCCTACCTATTGTATGACCAATGGAATAAAGAAAGATTCAGTGGGATATGACGGTATGACTACACCTCTTGGCCCTGTGGGACCTTTGCCAGTGAAGGCCACCAATGCAGATCTGAAAGATCAATCGTGTTCATAGCAAGGACAGATGCTGAAACGCTACCCAACTGTGACTCAGCGCAACAGAGGTCAGACACATTTTTTTATACAAGGGCAACCCAGGGTTGATTTATGGTTGGCCCTAAAACAACACAGTAGGGTAAGGTAATTGCACAGTATGTGCTGTGGTCTATGGCTACAGGCCATAGGTTAAACTAACCTCCACAAAGGACGCAACACTCGGACAAGGCCCCATAATAACGTTATATCGAGCGACGCCAGTGTATATGCATTCAACTACATGATCCCACACATTGACGTGAAGTGATTAATAACAACAACCTCATTGGGTGTTCATACACCTGGAAGTTTGGGTTAATTCAGTTAATGTCAAAATGTATAATTATAAAAAGTGTTCATCGTAGCAATAAATCTAAATACCAGTAATTAGAGTTAATAGGATTATAATCAACAATGCTAGATTCATCTCAGTATCAATTCGATCAAGGTGCAGGACAATGGGCAATTTACAGTATTAATATAATCAGACAGTCATAGTGATGATGAGGATAGTGATGATGATGATGATTATTATTATGATAGTAATTATGATGCTAGTGATGATGCATTTCTAGGGATGGTCACAGTGGGGCTAGTTATTCAGCCTTGGTCTGAGCAGCCAGCAGGTGGCGCTGTGGCCGTGGCTGCCAGTCTGGGAGGAGCTCCATCCTGGGGCTCCATGGGCCCCTCTCCATCCCCCTCCTCCTCCCCTCTTTCCCCCACCAGAGGATGCTGTCTGTGGGCCGGGGATTGGGAATGCCTGGCCCTGGACCTGTGGTGCTTGCGGTGAGGGTGGAGGAACAGCGCTGGGTCAGGCATGGCGGTGGGCTCTGCGGGGCCCGTCACTCTCTCCTGGGGGACACACTCCCTGGCCCTCTCCGCCCGGAGCTGGTGCCCTGACGTGGCCCTGCTGCCCCTGCGTTTAGGCTTGACCACAGGGGAGGCTATGGCAGAGCTGGCGTTTGAGGCATTGGAGAAACCGGAGGGCGACTGAGGAGAAAAGGTGGCGGTGTCCCACTCGGCTGCTTGGCTGTACTGGAGCCCAGGGGGTTTCCCATGACGACGATCCCTATTCTCCTGGTTCTCCCTGAGGGCCTGCTGCCTCTGCTGCAGCTGCTGGTGGTGCAGTTTCTGGCGGGCAGCGTGCAGCTGGAAGGAGAGGTAGGCTGCCGCCTCGGTCTGCTTCTGCAGCTCTGTGTTGAGCACCGTGGAGCGGTGGCTGCGGCGCTTCAGCTCGTCCAGGAAGCGGCGCTCCTTGTCCTTGAGGTTAGCCCGCAGCGCGCCTACCAGCGCCCCCTTGTGAGTCAGCTCTTTACGCAGCTCTCCCAGGGTGCACTGCTGCTTGGCCAGGCGATCTTCGACCTCCAGACAGCGGGCCTCCAGCTGCTCCTCCTCCTCCGCCAGGTCTGAGGACGGTCACACGAACACACAAACAGATAAGCACACACAAGTCAAATAGTAAGGACGCATCAGAGATTCACAGACAAATAACTAACATACAGACAGAAAAACAAGCCCCAAATGCAGCTGCCAGGATTTACATTAAGGGCAGTGTGTACTTGCCATCTATTACCCATGCTGACATATTGACCACACAGAGCACTCCTCCTAACCCCATCCCCCAACCCCCTGTTCATCTGGACATAGGACCAGAGAACGGAGCATAGAGTACATACAGAGAGATAACACACTGTCTGAATATGACCCAGTCAGTCAAATGGATATGGAATTAGGTAATGTGACCAGCGCTGGCTGCTCTCAATCACCAATTTGCCCTCAAAGTACATTTGTGGATAATCTGGTAGATAGGAAATGGTATGTGGGTTTAGATATTGCCTGGACAAAGGCAGAAGACTGAGCACATATGGGCAAAGCATTACAGAGCCATTGAGCAAATCCCTGCCAGTAGCCACCACCCAATCTCTACCAACCACGGCATGGCCACTGGCAGGGTGTGCCATCTGCTACCACTTACCCACTTTAGAGAGAGAGTGAAGAGAGCAGACTGGCAGACTGCTCACATGCAGTGGTGGTGTGATGGGAGGGGAAGGAAGGTGATTGTTTTGGTGGGTTGGTGGCCGATATAACATTAAATGTAGTAACATACTGATAGCCCCCTCAACACAATAATACCTACTTTCCCAGCTGACAAAATTGGCTGCACTGATGTCATTACACCAGGAATTGGCTGTGATAACGTCATTGCATCCAGTTTTAACCGCTAGTTTAAAATCATTGTACAACATTTGCTGTGCTTTTGGGGCAAAGTCAAAGCTACAGTACTCCATCACAGTTAAATCCCTCCAGTAGGAAAACAACCTTAGTCAGACCTAGCTGTAGCTGTACTGTAGCTGTGGCTTTGGGCTCAGACAGCTGTGCCAGGGGAGAGGGATTACACCACAGCCTCTGGTACGCTGGTTGACCCAAGAATTAGGTCAAAGAAGACGGATGGGAAGGGAGAATCTCCAACAAGAGCAAAAGGTGCTGTGATTAGTTGAAACTTTGATATGAAATCATTGTAAAATGATCAGTTGGGATGTTCGTTAGGCCTATGTTAGGATTGCTGGATTACTTTTAGAATAGGAGGAACCTGATATCCATATAAGTAGCCCTTCCTTTCTCTATCTCCTTTCTCACCCTCCTCTCTTTCTCTTGTTCTTCTCTCCTCTCATCCCTCTTAATTCCTCTCTCTGTACCAGTCTCTCACATCCCTCTTAATTCCTCTCTCTGTACCAGTCTCTCACATCCCTCTTAATTCCTCTCTCTGTACCAGTCTCTCACATCCCTCTTAATTCCTCTCTCTGTACCAGTCTCTCACATCCCTCTTAATCCCTCTCTCTGTACCAGTCTCTCACATCCCTCTTAATCCCTCTCTCTGTACCAGTCTCTCACATCCCTCTTAATCCCTCTCTCTGTACCAGTCTCTCACATCCCTCTTAATCCCTCTCTCTGTACCAGTCTCTCACATCCCTCTTAATTCCTCTCTCTGTACCAGTCTCTCACATCCCTCTTAATTCCTCTCTCTGTACCAGTCTCTCACATCCCTCTTAATTCCTCTCTCTGTACCAGTCTCTCACATCCCTCTTAATCCCTCTCTCTGTACCAGTCTCTCACATCCCTCTTAATCCCTCTCTCTGTACCAGTCTCTCACATCCCTCTTAATTCCTCTCTCTGTACCAGTCTCTCACATCCCTCTTAATCCCTCTCTCTGTACCAGTCTCTCACATCCCTCTTAATTCCTCTCTCTGTTCCAGTCTCTCTCATCCCATACCTCTTTCTCCATCCCTCTGTCTTAATTCTTCTCTTGATCTCAATCACTATTTTACTGATTTTTCTTTCTCCATCTTTATTTCTCCCCTCCCTCCCTTCACTTCTTGCACTAACTGTCGCCCACTAGACCAGGGTGGTGAGGTCATGCTCCAAATATAGAAAAAGCTGTGTAATCTAATCTCCATTTCTCCATCCTTTCCCCCTCCCCTCTCTCTCTCTCCCTCTTTACCACTTTCTCTATCTCTCTCTTTCTCTTACTGTCCCTCTAACACTTTATTGTGCCCCCCTAACCGTACCATCCTCCCCACTCCCTTCCTTCCTCCCTTGTCCCTCCATCTCTCTGTCTCAGAAAACAGACTGTAATTGGATCCCTCCACCGGGGCACAGAGGAGCATGAGAGGGGAGGGAAAATTGATCAATTTGCGAGGATGGAGGAGTGGGGCTGTGGCGGAGTGATAGAGCGAGGGATGGACTGCTCTGTAAAAAGAGGGGGGTCTTGATTAGTTATAATGGGCTGCAGATGGGCATGACCCCCCCATCACTTCCTTCCTCTCTTTCTCTTTCTCTCCACCACCCTTTCCCTCCCATCCCCTCTGTCTCTGTAATTATCTAAGCTAAGATATTAGCATAATGTCAATCTTGTATCTAGACATTCTAATACAACAAACTAACCATTAAGGGAATATTAACGTGCACACACACAGCCTTTTGTCTGATGGTTCATATAAATGAACTGTTGATTTCACTCTGCTGCCAATCTACCCAATTCCAATCCTCCTACATGTTTCCCCCTCCTGGTAACAGATCAAGCCATAAAATGTGAATCCCCTATATGATGGTTTGTTATGGAATATGGTCTCTATGGGTGAGGATGAGAGGGGAGAAGGGGAGGTCGACCACAGGGCTGACCCTTGGGGGATGTGTAAAGTGAGGGATACTGCTATGGGGGGGGGGGGGGGGGGGGGGGGGGGCACTTACCCAGTTCACTCTTGCCTGGAGGCTTCACATTCAGCTCACATGTCAACTCTGAGAAAACAGAGACAAGAAATGAGACATCAGTGAGACAGAGACATGAATGAGTAATGTGTGAGACAGAAATTAATCATATGAGTAAGTATTGGAGACAAATAGATCGATTTCAGGAATTTAAATAAATAAAAATAGAAAGGAATGCGGTGATGTGTCTCATTGAAAGGAATGTGGTGATGTGTCTCATTGAAAGGAATGCGGTGATGTGTCTCATTGAAAGGAATGCAGTGATGTGTCTCATTGAAAGGAATGCGGTGATGTGTCTCACTGAAAGGAATGCGGTGATGTGTCTCATTGAAAGACTCTAAATGCTAATGCTGATCGAAACTAGGGATTCATACTTTCCCAAAAAAGGTTTCAATATCGAGAATAATTCATATTTATCCAGAGAGTCCCGGGAAATACCGTAAAAATCGGAAGTGGCCATCATAGCCGTGGGAAGTAGGGGTGCTGAGGGTGCTGCAGAACCCCTGATAAATCACAATTAAAAAATATATATACAAAAATGGTGCACTAGGACTTTATTACTCCTGTATGAGCGGAGCAAAATACTAGTCGACAGAACATTTCCTCAGCACTCATATGGGCAGCAAGTAGGCTAGGCTATGAGACAGCACAGAGAATCAATGGAAATGTTATAGCGGTATTTTGACATGCATTGGCGAGAGACGTGCTTTGATAATGCAACCTATGGATTACAGAATAAAGTTAGGAATTTTCATGCGAGACAGGAGTCAGGATTTTAGGTTTCAGTGGGATTGGGATTGGATAGGAAAATGGCCTAGGCTAGAATATTCCTCATGCCTCTGAATTGTTAACAGACTTCATGTCTGTGACAGAGACGCCTATGTAGTGAATTGTGTATAGGCCTATCAAATTTGTGACTGTCTGAAGATTCACAATGACAGCTCAAAGAGGCACACGTTCTTTTATAGTCTATAGGCCTACTGTAGGGGTTTTCTGTAGGGTTGAACTGCATTCGGGTCGGTGTGCAGTCCGGCAGTGTCAATTATGCGTGCGCTCTGAATTTATGGCGACTTTGTGTGAAGTAAATACTCTAGACTAAAGGCTTCCATGTGACAACTTGTTTGGATAATGTGCTATTTTATTTTAGGCTGATCTGATGCTGTGCATGTGTAGGGCCTGCATTAGTGCCAATATTGGGGGGAAATGTTGTAATTTCTCAGGTCTTTCATTTAATTTTGGGGGGAAATGTGAAGAGTGTTCCCGGGACAGTCCCGGGATCCCTGTTACCCATGTTAATCCCTAATCTTAACTGTAGTGCTGTTGAAGCATTGAATGTCCAATCTATTTGTTTGCGTCTAGTCTGTCAATTAACTTGATGGCAGACAGTACAGACAGACATGATTAGGGCCTTGTGTACATTGAGTTAAACTGATTCTGTTTAGCTGGGTGGACTCTAAGCACTTCTCCAGTCAGCACAGACAGACGCCATGCTTGGGTTGCCCTCAAGGACAAATACTAAAATATACTGTACAGTATTTATTTTATTTCCCTGTCTATGCACTCTCACTCACATGAATAGACAGTTTACCTCCCCAAATAAGCACAGTAAATCCTTTAACCTATCCCCCTCCTTTGCCTGCTCAGCAAATCCCATCAACCCCCACAGAGAGAGAGGGAGAGAGAAAGAAAGGCAGAAAGAGAAAGGAAGGACGAAAGAGAAAGAGGAGGAGGATGGATAGATGAACCCCAGCAGAGAGGATGACTCCAGAAGGGGAATCAGACCCCCTGACTGCCAGGAACAGGAAGGTATTGACCTGTGGTTCCCTCTCATGGAAACCCTGGCTGTAGTGGGGGAGGATTCAATGAGGTAAACCTGCTCTGTTCAAGTTCAAGTTAATAGTCCCAAGAAAACGAATTGATTGCACTGATAGACTAGTACAGTAGACTACATTGAGTTTGTATCTAAGATTTGATGGCTTTAGCATCTTTGCTGTGTATGGGCCTAGTCTGTCAGTCAAACCACAACACCATGTGGTGATGCCCTTTAACTGAACAGTAGGAGAGCCGAGCGCAGAGAAGAAGAGAAGGGATGCATCGATAGGGATGCTTCATGGCCTTCTTGGCTACATCTTGTTCTGCAGTGAGGTCTGCCTCTGCTTGGCTTGGCAGTAACTCTGCTGTTGTAAAGAGGGTCTGACCCGCCCCCCCCCCCCCCCCCTTCTCTCTCTCTCTCTTTTGCTCTGTTCTCTGCTGCTGACGTGTGGACAGAGCAGAGCCCCCTTCATATGGATTATGACATATGTCAATGGATTATGTATGATATGAGAGAGAGAGAGAGAGAGAGAGAGAGAGAGAGAGAGAGAGAGAGAGAGAGAGAGAGAGAGAGAGAGAGAGAGAGAGAGAGAGAGAGAGAGAGAGAGAGAGGAGAGAGAGAGAGAGAGAGAGAATTAATATTAATTAATTCTATAATGGATTCTGTCCAGCATCGCTTGCCACAAAGCCTGATTAAATACATACCACACCATACATTAGTCACTGACAGGAAATGATGTCATGTCATTGTTTGTGTGTGATGTATACTCACCGGTGCATCGTTTCTGCAAGGACAGGATCTCCAGGTGTAGGCCATGCAGTAGGGTGAGATGTTCCTGTCTGAGAAACACTGAACTCCTCTCAACACTCTCCATCTGCATGTCCAAGGTGGAGCCTGTAGGTTCCATGATGACACACTTGACCTGCACCGTGCACAGAAAATGGAGTCAGAGGACATTAATTAAGCAATAACGCACGAGGAGGTGTGGTATATGTCCAATATATCACGGCTAAAGTCTGTTCTTATGCACGTCGCAACGCAGAGTGACTGGATACAGCCCTTAGCCGTGGTATATTGGCCATATACCACAACCCCCCGAAGTGCCTTATTGCTATTTGAAACTGGTTACCAACGTAATTAGAGCAGTAAAAATAAATGTTTTGTCATACCCCTGATATACCACGGCTGTCAGCCAATCAGTATTCAGGGCTTGAAACACCCAGTTTATAATATACATTATACCTCCATGTGTATAAGTGTCACTTTCCTGCTACTAATGAGAAGCAGGAAAGTGCTCTGTCGTAGCCGGCCGCGACCAGGAGACCCATGGGGCGGTGCACAATTGGCCCAGCGTCGTCCAGGGTAGGGGAGGGAATGGCCGGATGTAGAGCATGGCGTTTGCAACGCCAGGGTTGTGGGTTTGATTCCCACGGGGGGCCAGTATGATTTAATAATAATAATAATAATAATAATGTATGCACTCACTAACTGTAAGTCACTCTGGATAAGAGCGTCTGCTAAATGACTAAAATGTAAAATTTAATGATGAACAATAATACAAGGATTCCAAATGTGTGTGAGTGTGTGTGTGTGTGTAATGATGCATTTGCAGTATATTTCCCCCTTCTTTATTGACCTTCACTGTAGGTTAATTATTTAATATTATTTTACAATGCAGTTTAGGATATCACCTGACATACATTTTCATTAAGCATTACAACAAGAGAAACACCGAAGTCTTCATATATTCTAAGATAAATAAAAACCCATATTGATTGATGATGGTGATGTCAGGCAAGATAACGCGTGTATAAGTTCACCATTGAGGTCATGCGGTAAAAGGTTCATTGATCACCCAATAGAGAGATGGGAGAAACCAACGCAATATGCTTGGTAGGTTTCAGTATGTTGACAGTCCTAGTACCAGTAGAATTCAATGTTACAGTAGATGACATGCCTACAATACACCCAATATATGTGGCAATGTTATGAAAATTATCCATGCTTACCGTGCTATTTTAGATAATGTTGAACGGAGTCCCACAGAATTCCTATATAAAATTCATAAGATCTATAAACAAGTCCTTCGATCCATACATGATTGTTTTCCAGGAATGTTCCAAAAACATTTACGCTATTCGTCAAATTATTGAGCTCAATTCAACATTATCTGCGGCGACAGCGTTGTATCAAGAACGAAAGATGACGAATCAATCACTGATAGCCTGTATACAGAAAAAAATGCAAATCAGCGACGCATCGCACAACTGTCCTGGGAGGCTACAACAGGATAAATATCTCTTCGTTACTGCCGCACCATCTCGCTGCGTCAGTCAAAGTTATTGCAAAAAATACTCATAACAAGGTCACAATAAACAAGTACATTGTAGCCTACATCTGTGTAACGTATGGAAACGGAGCGCGATTCATTTCCACAGACGCAACATCCCTCTCCTCCCTCGTTCGTTGGGTTGCGCTGGTTGAGCTGGTACAGTAGGCTACTGTCGTATAATGAAAACAAGACATCGTGACCGGAACACGCGAGATGATCGTACGAGTAGAGTGCAGCTTATTGTAAGAAGTGGCCGTACCCAATATCGATTTTTGCCAGGATCGATATAGCAGTAGAGACAGGACAGGAAAGCCTTTATTATGAATATTAAAATCACTACTTTTGGTTAGACAAATGTTGGGGTGGCACCACAACCAGGCCTCCTATGATATCAAATGGGCTACTTTGAGAATATGCACGGCAAATAACGTACTCAATTTCAGCACCATGAACGGGATCATTGCTCTGGACACGCCTCCCCCTGAGACAACCTGACATAGGCTAATGCCAGTCATTTCAGACCTGATGGGGGTGACAATTTCTTGCTAGGCTTGATGGATAGGCCTAGCTGTTATGACTATAAGGAAATTATCTATGTTCCTAAATTTTTTCTCAACATTTGGCACAATAATGAGGTTTAATTGGCCATGAATTAAGTCTGCCAATCTTTGATATTCAACCTGGTCTCAAAGCATTTAGTATTATTCTCTACGTTAATCCTAGACACTACATTTACATTTTAGTCATTTAGCAGACGCTCTTATCCAGAGCGACTTACAGTTAGTGAGTGCATACATTATTTTTAATTTTTCATACTGGCCCCCCGTGGGAATCGAACCCACAACACTGGCGTTGCAAACGCCATGCTCTATCAACTGAGCTACATCCCTGCCGGCCATTCCCTCCCCTACCCTGGACGATGCTGGGCCAATTGTGCGCCGCCCAGGGGCGGTGTGTTCATTAGGGCGATATGGGCGAGGCCCTGCCAAACGGGAAAAGGAAGGGATTTTTTTTCTAATCAATTATATCACGGCAACAGTAGTTATCAGTGTTCTAATATAGACGTCTGATCTGCCACTAAATGTCCAATCAGGCTAAAGTCGTGCTTCAAATGGCCCCGCCCTTTTGGGGCGATTTCAGTCAGGTTGAAAATCGCCCAGGAGTCTCTCATAGACTATCATGTAAAATATTTTTTTTTTCAAATATCAGAGCTTTCAATACAATCTCTATGGGTTCCGGGAGGGCTTGCACTTACGCGCTTTCGTCATACGTAACCATGAACATAACTAAGAAAAGAGCAGGTAGCAGCGTCAATCAATTCGCTCCTGTAAATCGCTCTGGATAAGAGCGTCTGCTAAATGACTTAAATGTAAATGTAAATGTAATTCACGTACAACTGTCAAGATGGCTAGCTTTGCGAGGCAAAGATGAAACTGAGGGCTCCACCAACCCTGGTATTTTTCTTGGACTTGTCAACTTTGTGGCACAATTAGATGAGGTGTTTGATGACCATCTTAAAAATGCTAAAGTTTTCAAGGGCACATCAAAGACCATTCAAAACGAGCTACTGGAGTGTATGCTAGCGGTCATGAGGGAACATATTGTGGAGGAGGTGAAGTCGGCGAACTTCGTAGCTATCCAAGCTGACGAGACCACGGACGTTTCTACACAGACACAGCTGGTGCTTGTGCTGAGGTACATAGATAGCAACCACAAAGTGCAGGAGCGCTTTTTTGAGTTCCTTCCCATCTCGGAATCAACCTCAGTCTCAATCGCCAGTGTGCTTTTGGAGAGACTGAACGGTCTTTTTGCAGACGACGAGAAAGTCAAACTCATTGCGCAAGCTTACGATGGAGCCAGTGTGGTGAGGGGAGAGAAGGCTGGTGTGCAGCAAAAGGTGCGCATTTCAAGAATGTCCATTACGTGCATTGCTATGCGCATCAGCTGAATTTGATCATGCAGCAAGCTAGAACAGTTTCAGTACAAGTAATGTAGCCTCTCTCTCTCTTCGTCCCTCCCTGTCTGTCTCTTTAACACACACACGCCCAAATCAGTTCACAGTTGATGTTGTTTAAAATAGTTATTTTTCATTTTTAAAAAAGTTTAAAAAAAATAAAAAATCTGTTCATGTTCATTTTTACAAATCTATACAATTGGCCAGAATATGGTTGTTCATATTTACAAATCTATACAATTGGCCAGAATATGGTTGTTCATTTTTACAAAGCCATACAGATAGCTGTGTTTACCTTTTCTAGAAATTATTTTCAAATTCTGTTTTCAGGCAAAATGTCTATCACTGTTCATTTTCACAAATCTATACAAGAGGGCAGAATATGGAAGTCTATAAAAATTTATTATTACCAATAACTTGCATCAATGTTTTCAGTAGCCTCTATCAAAAGCTCCTGATTGCTTGTTGTGAATTATGCTCAGGTGCACATATTTCCAATTCAACCATGAGGCTTTTTTGAAGCAAGTAATGTGTATATCAGTATTGACTTATATGCTGCCCCTGTCTTCATGTTGTTGCTGGACATATCTTTTTTTAAATGTGTGTAGGTCATCTAAATCATCAGAAAAATTGCCCCCCCTGAGAATTTTTTCAGGAGCCGCCACTGGCGCCGCCCATGAGTATGATATGTTAAATTTCGTATGGTATGTATTAATTTGTGGATGTCCATCACCCATTTCGTATGATATGTTACGAATTTCAATTCTAATTACAATTTGTATTATATGTTACGAATTTGCAAAACATACAATATGTTATGAATTTGCTAAATGTATGATATCTTACGAATTCTAGCTAGGTGGCTAAGGTTAGCTAGCTGGCTAACGTTAGCTAGGCTAGGGTTTAGGGTTAAGGTTAGGGTTAAGTTTAGGAGTTAGGTTAAAGGGTTAAGATTAGGGTTAGTGGAGGGTTAGCTAAGATGCTAAGTAGTTGCAAAGTAGCTAAAAAGTAGTAAGTAGTTGAAAAGTTGCTAATTAGCTAAAATGCTGAAGTTGTCCGAGATGAGATTCAAACTCGCAACCTTTGGGTTGCTTGATGTTCGTGTTATACGCCTACCCACCCCGACCAACCACCGTACTTTTGTTTTTGCCTTAAGTAACCATCTGTCTTATGTAACCATATCAAACATAACATATACTAATTTGAGTGTCCCGGATTTACCTTTACTATGTTACGTCTAGTCTATGAGACCAGGCTGTGATATTGAGTCACTGGTGCCTCAAAGATGTTGGCAAAACATCTGCACCCACTGATGAAATGAATACACAAAATACTTTTCAATGCTATGTTTTTTATTTTCACATTAAAATACAAAATATCTGTTACTGTAAAGAAACATACATTGGAATCTTATTCATTACAAAATCCCAATTCATCAAAAAAAAACATTTTTTTATTATCATCCTATATACAGTTTAGACAGGATTGTATGACATATGATCTACTCAGGTGAAAAGGCAGATAGGCTTAAACATATACAGGTAACTGCCAAAATAATGGAAACACTTGAGTAAATGAAAGGGAAAGGGAAGTAAAAGGGGAAACCTTGTCAGTTGTACAAGTGAATGCATTCAACTGAAATGTGTTTTCCGCATTTAACCCAACCCCTCTGAATCAGAGTTTGAGTCACCAGATCTCAAACCAATTGAACATTTATGGGAGATTCTGGAGTGGCGCCTGAGACAGCGTTTTCCACCACCATCAACAAAACACAACATTTTGGAATTTCTTGTGGAAGAATGGTGTCATATCCCTCCAATAGAGTTCCAGACACTTGTAAAATCTATACCAAGGTGCATTGAAGCTGTTCTGGCTCGTGGTGGCCCAACAGCCTATTAAGACACTTTATGTTGGTGTTTCCTTTATTGTGTCAATTACCTGTACATAATCATACACTTAATTTCAATTTCTTCAAAGTTCCAGGTTTTTACTATGGCATTTATCATTTCAATTGTTTCACTTTGGTTCAGACTCTTCACTATGGTTTTGTGGGGGGTATTCTTCAAAACATTTGAACCATCAAATTTACAATAGAACATAATTCTCCAGAACACCAGAATGAGAATAACATATACATGTAATATATCAAATAATGAGCAAGATACTGTACTCGTCTGAAGAAAGAGTGTAAGTAATCTCAGGCTCTGCACGGTGTTCAAATAGCCCTTGTCTCCTTTTTACAGCACCACTGATATTAAAGTTGAATAAATCTGTCTAATCCTATCATCTATCAGTAATAATGAAGGAAAGAAGATGAGGCAAGGAGGCTTTTCAAGGTTATTGGGACATCTGTGGACTGTGGTGCTGGGTAGAAGTTGCCCCTAACTACTGGCCCAAGGTCAGATATTTTACCATCCTCATAATGGTTAAGGCTAGGATTTGGTGTTGGGTAATCAGGGCCTGTAATCATAAAGCGTTTCAAAGTTGGAGTGCTTATCTGCGATCAGGTCCCCCCCTGTCTATTTATTATAATGCAAAAGGCAAAACTGATCCTAGATCAGCACTCCTACTCTGAGATGCTTTGTACAGGTCTCACAGGAGGTTGGTGGAACCTTAATTGTGGAGGACGGTCTCGTGGTAACGGCTGGAGCGGAATAGGTAGAATGGTATAAAATACATCAAACACATAGTTTCCATTTGCTCCGTTCCAGCCATTATTATGAGCCGTCCTCCCCTGTGGCCCCAGACCCTAGATCTGTGTTTAGGGGCCATTTCTACCTCAACACTGCTAGGTGGGCCGAAGCATTGTATTTGCTTTAATTTTCAAGATGATCGGTCCCTGGCGAGGGAGGAGCTGGTTTTCACATATTGTGTATATTTATTTATTCTGAACACATTTCCGTTTGTTGGCAATGTCAGTTCTTGCACATTTCTTCAAAATGTTTTAGAGGAGATTGTATTGCAAAGTATGCTACATGTGTTGGATATGCTGTATTGGCTAATACAGTGAGGGAAAAAAGTATTTGATCCCCTGCTGATTTTTTACGTTTGCCCACTGACAAAGAAATGATCAGTCTATAATTTTAATGGTAGGTTTATTTGAACAGTGAGAGACAATAACAACAAAAACATACAGAAAAACGCATGTAAAAAATGTTATAAATAGATTTTCATTTAAAATGA